GTCCAGGCTAAAAGTGATGATTCGTCATGCTCCAGGTTGAATTTTTCTTCCCGTACCAAACCAAGGGTTGGGCTGGTTATTCTGGTGGCCCAAAAATGAGATGCAGATGAGCTGGGAGAGGAGGGACTTTATTTCCATAACTGGTTACAGGGAGAAGGTCTGGACATCACTGCCAGACCAACTCAAAATTACAAAGTTCTCCAGAGCTTCTATACCTTCCAAGCTGTATGTGTGCGTGTAAGTGTGCGTACATCTAAAGACATCCGTCATTAACTTCTAATCTCTAACTAATGTCTGAGTCCTGAAGACCTTCCTCTGGAGCCTCAGTAAATTGACTTAATCTAAATGGGTTCAGGTGGCCAGGCGTCGTGGCTCACACCTGTAATCCTAGCACTTTGGGAGGCCGAGGCGGGCAGATCACCTGAGGTCAGGAATTCAAAACCAACCTGGCCAACATGGTGAAACCCTGTCTCTACTGAAAATACAAACATTAGCCAGGTGTGGTGATGCATAATGGTAATCCCAGCTACCCGGGAGGTTGAGGCAGGAGAATCACTTGAACCTGGGAGGCGGAGGTTGCAGCGAGCTGAGATCACGCTACCGCACTCCAGCCTAAGCAACGGAGAGACACTCCATCTCAACAACAACAAAAATAGAGAAATAAATAAATAAATAAATGGGTCCAGGTGCCAGGGTTGATTACTCTTACCTTGTCTCTTGCTAGATCATGGAGGTTTAGGAAGGTTTTTCAGACTTCCAGTAAAACCTGTTTAATCCTAAACGGGTCCTGTTGAGAATTCCTTCATTACCTTGTCATGCTTCAAGGCCCAGGAGAGGCCTGGGAAAAACTCGTGGTGGGCTTTCGTTACATTCCAGCCTTTGTATAAGGGCGCTGGCTCTTTCAGCTTTTAATATTTAACTTCACCATTTGGTCAGTGCTGACACAGTTGTTATGGAGGCCTGCGTTCATGAGACGTGGCCTGCCACGTTTTTGCGCACAATTAAGGAGTTTTTCGTGGATTATCAGAGTTGTGTAACCATCGTCATGTTGATGAAAAGAGCCAAACTCTGTAAAACATTTGAAGAGATTTATTCTGAGCCGAATATGAGTGACCATGGCCCGTGACACAGCCCCAGGAGGTCCTGAGAACACGGGCCCAAGACGGTCGTGGTGCAGCTTGGTTTATACATTTTGGGAAGGCGTGAGACATGGATCAAATACACTTAAGGGACACATTGGTTGGGTCCAGAAAGGCAGGACAATTCAAAGCTGGGCGGCTTTCAGTTTTTACGGAGATTTAAACATTTCCTGGATGACAATTCATTGAGTTTCTCTAAAGACCTGGGATCAATAGAAGGGAATGTCTGGGTTAAGATAAAGGATTTTGGAGGCCAGGAACAGTGGCCCATGCCTGTAATCCCAGCATTTTGGGAGGCCAAGGCAGATGGATTACTTGAGGTCAGGAGTTCGACACCAGCCTGGCCAATATGGTGAAACCCTGTCTCTACTAAAAATACAGAAATTAGCTGGATGTGGTGGTGTGTGCCTGTAATCCCAGCTACTAGGGAGGCTGAGGCAGGAGAATTGCTTGAACCTGGGAGGTAAAGGTTGCAGTGAGCTGAGATTGTGCCACTGCACTCCAGCCTGGGTGACAGAGTAGGACTCTGTCTCAAAAAAAAAAAAAAAAAAAAAAAGAGTAGACACCCAACTGGCCACATGATATTCACACCAGGATTCCATTGTTTAAATCACACCATCATTTCATGTGCCACAAAGATTCTAAAACGTGCTGCCTGGTGTACAAGACTTCATGTCATCTTCCTGCTTAGAGAGCTTTAGTTTTCATTTGCCGAAAGAGACTTTTTAGGCTAATGTTGGCAAATACAGCTGTGATGTATATTTGCTTTCTAGTAGATGGCTACATCAGTCTAGTACATATGTAAAAGTGGAAATATAATTGCCAACCACATCTTAATGCCTTCCCAAAATTTCTTCACATCGAGGGCCTGACTCCTCAGAAACCTTTTTTATGTCATTGCCATTGATGTTAATGTATCCTCTACCCAATCTGGCTCTCTGCACCGTGAAGAATGTCAGTACTGTCAACTGGGGGAGCTTTAAACAATAGGAATTTATCCTCTCCTGGTCCTGGAGACCAGGAGTTTGAGATCAAGCTGTCTCCGGGCAATGTTTGCTCCAGAAACTCTAGGGGAGGATCCTCCCAGCCTCTCCCAGCTCCTGGGGGCTCCAGCATCCCTGGGCTTGTGGGCACATCTCTCTAGTCTCTGCCTCCACATGGCCTTCTCCTCTGTGTCTGTGTCTCCTCTTCTGTCTCTTAGAAGGACACCTGCCATTGCATTTATTGCCACCCTAATCCCGGATGATCTCAAAGTCCTTAACTTGATTATATCTGCAAACACCCAATTTCTAAATCAAGCCTCATTTATAGGCTCTGGGGGATATGACAGGAACATGTTTTGGGGTCACCATTCAACACATTGCAGTTGTATCCACTTTCTTCCTGAGGCGCCAGGGGAGGGTCCTTCCCGCCTCTCCCCGCTCCTGGGGCGCCAGGCGTCCCTGGCTTGTGGCCGCATCACTGCAGTCTCTGCCTCCATCTCCACGTGACCTCCTCCTCTGTGTCTCTAGCTCCTCTTATGAGGACAAGTCATTTGTAGTGAAGGACCCAACTTAATCCAATGCACACTTACCAACAAGGTTAATAACAAATATAAAATCAATCCTCTGCCAGGAGAACTACATGAGATTGAATGTTGTAATGTCACCAAAACAGAGAGACAGAGCAAGCGAGAGAGACACAGAAAAATTGAGAGACTCAGGGAGAGAGAAACTTAAAGCAAGTGAAACAAGCAGACAGGTGAAATCACCGCGGCTGAGCATCTGTTTCTCGGTTTTAACCACCTTCTTTTGTTTCTGTTCCAACACAGGCGGGAAGGGCATGGGAGGATGGGAAGGTGGGATCCGCGTGCCTGGGATCTTCCGCTGGCCCGGGGTGCTCCCGGCTGGCCGAGTGATTGGCGAGCCCACGAGCCTGATGGACGTGTTCCCCACCGTGGTGCAGCTGGCGGGCGGTGAGGTGCCCCAGGACAGGTACCTAACGATCCAAAAAACATTCGGCTTTCCGCAGACACAGCAACAGTTACGGCAAATGAAAACGTCACTTTGCCATTGCAGTAAGGGGTCTACGAGATTGTTCCTGGACAAAAGCGAGGGTCGGCTGCTTATTCTCATGGCCCAGTAAGGAGACGCAGATGAGCTGGGAAGGAAATGAGTTTATTTCTGTAAACGAGTACCGGGGGAAGGTTGGAAATGATCACTAGATCAACTCAAAGTTACAAAGTTTTCCAGAGCTTAATGCCGTCTAAACTGTACGTCCCTGTGTAAGACTGCATTCATCTAAAGACATACGTGATTGAACTTCCTTTAATCTGTAACGAAGGTCTGAGTCCTGAGGACCTTCCCCTGGAGCCTCAGTCAATTCATTTAATCTAATTGGGTCCAGGTGCTTGGGTGATTACCCTTATCTTGTTTCCTGCTAAATCATGGAGGTTTGGGGAGTTTCTTTAGACCCCAAATAAAACTTGTTTAATCCTAAACGGGTCCTGTTGAGAATTCCTTCATTACCTTGTCGTGCTTCAAGGCCCAGGAGGGGCATGGGAAAAACTCATGGTGGGCTTTTGTTACATCCCAGCCTTTGTATAAGGGCGCTGGCTCTTTCAGCCTTTTTCTTTTCTTTTTTGAGACCAAGTCTCACTCTGTCTCCCAGGCTGGAGTGCAGTTGTGCAATCTAGGCTCACTGCAGCCTCCGCCTTTTGGGTTCAAGCGATCCTCCTTCCTCAGCCTCCTGAGTAGCTGGGATTACAGGTGCCCACCACCACACCCGGCTATTTTTTGTATTTTTAGTTGAGACAGGGTTTCACCATGTTGGCCAGGCTGGTCTCGAACTCCTGATCTCAAGTGATCCACCTTCCTTGGCCTCCCAAAGTGCTGGGAGGACAGGCGTGAGCCACTGCATCCGGCCAATTAATTACTTTTTAGCCAAAGGTGATGTTCGGCGGTGACTGACGTGGGTAGCATGCCTTCCATCCGTCCGTGTCCACAGCCAGACCTTCCCTCCACTGATACAATATAAGGAGAGTGCAGCACCTGGGCTGGAGCTGGTGGATGCTGGAGGGACAGATGTCCGAAGTCCCTGTCCCATCCCTGAGCCCCACCATGTTCCTTCCTGCAGAGTGATTGACGGCCGGGACCTTCTGCCCTTGCTCCTGGGAACAGCCCAGCACTCAGACCACGAGTTCCTGATGCATTACTGTGAGAGGTTTCTGCACGCAGCCAGGTGGCATCAACGGGACAGTGAGTAGGGGAGCCCCTTCCTAACACCCTTTAGGGAGGAGTCCCTCAGCACAGGAGAGCAGCAGGCCTGAAACAGGCTGGAGGAGTTGCGTTCCAGAGTCCATCTCCAGCTCCATGTCTCGCACTTCCGTTTTTCTCCATGAGCTTTTTACATTTAGTTTTTCTCAATATGTGTCCCTCTCATTCCAGCGACGTGCCTTCTAAGACCACCTGCCAATCATCTTAAAATGATGGGAAGGGAGGGAGTTGTTACCCGTAGTTTAAGCACCACGTATGGGCTGTATTTCCTCTTTTCTTCTGTGCACGATGTGAAGTGTAACTTTTATCATCACACACACACGTATCTGTGCATGCACACACACATGCTTGCACACACGTGTTCAACACTTTTCTAGTCTCCTTTTTTCTTATTTTTTGTAACTATTTGTTGGGGAGTAGTCTGTCTTTGTTGGTCAGGCTGGAGTGCAGTGGCATGATCTTGGCTCACTGCAGCTGCAGTCTCCCGGGTTCAAGCAGTTCTGCTGCCTCAGCCTCCTGAGTAGCTGGGATTATAGGTGCCCACCACCACCCCTGGCTAATTTCTTGTATTTTTAGTAGAGACGGGGTTTCGCCATGTCGGGCAGGCTGGTCTCGAACTCCTGGCCTCAAGTGATCGACCTGCCTCAGCCTCCCAAAGTGCTGGGATTACAGGCATGAGCCGCCACACCTGGCCTCCAATTTTTATTTATTAAATTGAAACAAGGTCTCCGTATGTTGCCCAGGCTGGTCTCAAGCTCATGGGCTGAAGCGATCCCCCTTGTCTTGGCCTCCCAAAATGCTGAAATGACAGGTGTGAGCCACACCCAGCCCTTCGTAGTCTATTTTGTGCATCTAGATGTGTTTCCAAATGTTTTCACCATCTGACCTTAACACGATTTCATCTTCTTTGTAAACAATCACAACTTTGTGACATAAGCAAACACGTGCTTACTGAATGCTTTCTGCCTCCCCAAATTTTCTAGGTCTTTTGGTTCTAATGTCCTGTCAAAAGAGCTATGAAATCATTTGCAAGTTTAAAAAAGAAAAATTCCACGGAAATATTAATCCTTTTTGCATTCAATGCTTCATTACCTTTATTATACTAGGTCTTCCCACGCTGAAATATGCTACGTGTCTCTGCTTAATTAATTCTACTTATTTAAAAATTATTCATCAAGCACATGGCCCCTTGCCAAGTAATTGCATTGTCTTTTTTTTTTTTTTTTTTTTTTTTGAGAGAGGGTCTTGCTTTGTTGCCCAGGCTAAAGTGCAGTGTTTCGATCTTGGCTCACTGCAACCTCTGCCCCCTGGGCTCAAGCAATCCTCCCACCTCAGCCTCCTAAGTAGCTGGGACCACAGGTGCATGCTACCACGCCCAGAGAACTTTTTATTTTTTGTAGAGTTGGGGGTCTCCCTCTGTTGCCCAGGCCGGCATCGAACTCCTGAGCTCGTGCAATCCTCTTGCCTCAGCCTGCCAAAGTGTTGGGACTACAGACATGAGCCACTGCGGCTCGCCTTCATTGTCTCTTATTTATTTATTTATTTATTTATTTATTTATTATTTTGAGACCGAATCGCCCTCCATCGTCCAGGCTAGAGTGCAGTGGTGTGATCTCAGCTCACTACAACCTCCACTGTCCAGGTTCGAGTGATTCTCCTGTCTCAGCTTCCTGAGTGGTTGGGACTCCAGGCATCTGCCGCTACGCTCGGCTAATTTTTATATTTTTAGTAGAGACAGGGTTTCACTTTGTTGGTCAGGCTGGTCTTGAACTACTGACTCAGGTGATCCACCCACCTCAGCCTCCCAAAGTGCTGGGATCACAGGCGAGAGCCACAGCGCCCAGCCGATTTCTTTCTTTTTATTTTATTGTTATTATTGTTTTTTTAAAGATGGGGTTTCACCATGATGGCCAGGCTGGTCTTGAACTCCTGACCTCAGGTGATCCACCCACCTCGGCCTCCCAAAGTACTAGGATTATAGGCATGAGCCACCACGCCCGGCCCAGCCTATTTATTTTTAAGTTTTTGAGACAGCTCACTCTGTCACCCAGGCTGTGGTGCAATGCTGGGATATTGCTCACTGCAACCTCCATCTCCCAGGTTCAAGCAATTCTCTTGCCTCAGCTTCCTGAGTAGCTGGCATTACAGGTGTGCACCACCATACCCGGCTAATTTTTGTATTTTTAGTAGAGATAGGGTTTCACCATGTTAGCCAGGCTGGTCTCAAACTCCTAACGAGGCGAGGTGATCCACCCGCCCATTTCGGCCTCCCAAAGTGCTGAGATTACAGGCCTGAGCCACCCCACCCGGCGTTCTTTCCATTAGTAGTCTAATCTGGAATTATTTTTATCACTGTATTTTGGGTTTTTTATTTACTTTCATTTTTTAAATTTTTATTATTTATTGAGATGGCGTCTCACCGTGTCCTCCAGGCTGGAGCGCAGTAGCATGACGTCAGCTCACTGCAGCCTCAGCCTCTTGGGCTCAAGCGATCCACCTGCTTCCGCCTCCCAAAGTATTCAGATTACAGGCATGCGTCATCGAACCTGGCCCATTTTTTGTTATTCATTCATTCATTCATTTATTATCTCCAGACAAGAGTCTCGCTTGGTCACCCAGGCTGGAGTGCAGGGGTGCGATCTCACCTCACTTCAACCTGTGCCTCCAGGGATCCACTGAGTCTCCTGCCTCAGCATCCCTAGTAGCTGAGATTATAGGTGTGAGCCACGACACCAGGCTAATTTTTGTATTTGTAATAGAGACAGGGTTTCATCATGTCGGCTAGGCTGGTCTCAAAACTCCTGACCGCAGGGGATCTGCCTGCCTCAGCCTCCACTATTTTTCGATTTTTAAATTACGTATTATAGATGTTGCCTTTGAAGTTTTTTTTTTAGCCTTTTCATCAGTAGCACAGCCTGACTTCCCGTGGTTTCTGCTCAGCAGCTCAGATCACTGACCCGACGACGGCATCACTCGCCTCTCTCCTCCTGGCTATTGGATACATGGTTTTGATGGTCGGGAGGTGGAGAGTGCGTCCTCCCGCCCGTGCGCCCTCAGTGCTGCCCTGGCTGGCCCTCCCCAGTCCACTCCTCACCCCCGGCGATTGCGCCTGCTGAGTGCATCCCCAAAAGGACCCCCTGCCTGAAGGTCACGGCAAGCCTGAATTCCTGCTGGGGAGCTTGGAACACCTTATTTCTGAAGCCAGCCCTGCCCTACCTCTGAAACCTGTCCTGATAACCAGACCTCTGCAACGTCCAAGTTCCAACTGCCCCGTACCCAGCGATCTGGGGACAGGCTCATCTTGTTCCTGCCTCAGGCCTTTGCACCAGCAGTTCCAACCACATGGAATGCACTCAGAGGACTGACCCTCCACACGGCTGGTTCACTGTTGATGTGCCTGCCCGAAGTCAAATGTTACCTTCTCAAACAGGCTTCTGGGACCAAAACCAGTCCCCCAAACTGCACTCACACGGACCTCCACTGTTAACTAGCCGTCAGAAATCACGAGGACCCACTGTACTTAATTCTGAGCACTTACACCTGTCCACAATTCTCTCTCTCTCTCTCTCTCTCTCTCTCTTTTTTTTTTTTTTTCCCTTTAAATAGAGGTGGAGTCTTGCTGTGTTGCTCGGGCTTGTCTCAAATTCTTGCATTCGGGGATCCTCCCACCTCGGACTCCCCAGGTGCTGGGGTTACAGGCATGAGCCACCGCGCCCGCCGATTTTCTGGCTTCTGTGTCTGTTTTCCCGTTCGGGTCATCTCCTCTGCTAACAGTTCATCTGTCTTCTCGCTGGCTGCTTGACACGCTCCCTGCAGTACGACACCACCGCTGACATTTCATGAGGGCTTGCACCCAGTGTTCTGTGCCTACCTGCCAAATTATCTCACCTTGATAACTGGCAGACACCCGTGACCAGCCCATTCCACAAGTGAGAAAACAGAATCACCAGGCAGCGGGTCCAAGGAGCCCCTGGAAGTGCTCACAGGGCGGACACAAGTCACGGAGTTTCATCACTCAGCGAACGTCCACAAATATCAAACCACAGTGGGGCCATTCCCAGGAGGCAGATCTCGGAGTGGGGTTCCAAACCCCACCGGCCATGGCAAGGAAGACAGAGTGTGCTTGTCTGTCTGAGGACATCTTCTGGGTGGCCACACCTGCTTGGTGCATGGGGACCGCCAGACGCCTTTGCAGGGAGGAGAGCATTGCGGCACCCGAGCCAACCCCTTGCTCGCTTACCCTCGTGACTTTCCCAGACTCACTGCCCTGCAGGATGCAATGGAAGGAACGTCAGAGACCCTGGCTTAAAGCAGCTGAAGCCACACAGCCGAGGCCGTGTGGTGACCCGTGTCCCAGGGCCCAGCAGGACATGGCTGTGGGCTCATTCACCATCTCTCCTTCCTGTCTTTCAAAGTCACTCCCTGAGGCTGAGTCTGCTCAGCTGCCACCTGCCTTCCACGTTCTAGGTCTTCCTGGACGCTGGGGGTGTCACTCCTTACAGATTTGCTGTTTCTTCCTTCCCTCCCTCCCTCCCTCCCTTCCTCCCTCCCCCCCTCCCTTCCTTCATTCTCTTCCTTCTCTCTTTCCTCCTTCCGTCATTCCTATTCCTGCTGGTGCCTTCAGCGCTAGAGCGGGGAGGGCTGGTACTAAATGTCATTGCCGTTTTACATCTCTGCGAATTCAGTTACGAAACCGCCTTCCACTGTTTATTTTTAACAAGCAAACACGCAATTCTCTTCTTAAGAACACTTTTTGGTTTTGATAATACTGCTCCCGTGGGACAGGACGAACTTATGGGCGGTGCCGCCGTCAGCGGCAAGTCGCTTTTTTCAACAGCTTTAATTTAAAGAGATATAATTCACTCACATAAAATCGACCTAGGAGGCCAGGCACGGCGGCTCACACCTGTCAGCCCAGCTACTTGGGAGGCTGAGGCAGGAGAATCACTTGAACCTGGGAGACAGAGGTTGTGGTGAGCCGAGATCACACCACTGCACTCAGCTTGGGTGACAGAGCAAGACTCTGTCTCAAAAAAAAAAAAAAAAAAAAAAAAAAAAAAAAAAAAAAACACACACAAAAGAAGAAACGGTTGACCGAGTGCAATTCACAGGTATTTTGTGCTTTCACAGTATTGTGCAACCGCCACGTCTATGTGGCCACAGAACACTTTCAGCACCCCAAAAGAGACACTGTTGCGATCAGCAATCGCCCCCCATTTCACCCCCAGCAGGCCCTGGAAACCACTACTCTACTTTCTGTCTTTATGTTTCCCTATCCTTGGCATTCTACGTGAATGGAATCAGGGTATTTTCCAAGTTCATCGACGTTGCAGCCTGTGTCAGAGCTTCACTCCTTTTCACAGCTGCATAGTATTCCATTGAACAGATGTACCATGTTCTCTTTATCTGTTCATCCATTGATGGACGCTTGGGTTATTCCTGCCTTTTAGCCCCTAAGAAGATGCCATTCTCCAGCAATGCACCCTATTTCTCTATGCCAGCCCTGTAATTCTTGTCTTTCCACCAGGAGGAACACTATGGAAAGTTCACTTTGTGACCCCAGTGTTCCAGCCGGAGGGAGCTGGTGCCTGCTACGGAAGAAAGGTCTGCCCGTGCTCTGGGGAAAAAGTAGTCCACCATGATCCGCCTTTGCTCTTTGACCTCTCAAGAGACCCTTCCGAGACCCACGTCCTCACGCCAGCCTCAGAGCCCTTGTTCTATCAGGTGCTGGAACGCGTCCGGCAGGCTGTGCGGGAGCACCAGCAGACACTCAGCCCAGTTCCTCTGCAGCTGGACAGGCTGGGCAACCTCTGGAGACCATGGCTGCAGCCCTGCTGTGGTCCGTTCCCCCTCTGCTGGTGCCTTAGGGAGGATGACCCACAATAAATGTGTGCAATGAAAAGCTGGAGCCCTGATTCCTAAATTTCATCACTCAAATGGAAACAAACCAGCTGCACATGCCGGCTATCATTCCAGAACTTTAGGAGGCCACCACCGGAGTCTCACTCGAGGCCAGGAGTTCGAAACCAACATGATGAAACTCTAGCTCCACAAAAACAAAAATACAACAATTAGCAGGCATGGTGACACATGTAGTCCTAGCAACTCAGGAGGCTAAGGCAGGAGGATCATTTGAGCACAGGAGTTGGAGGCTGCACCCCAGCCTGGGCAACAGAGCAAGAGCCTGTCTCAAAAAAAAGAAAACAAAAAAAATGAAACAAGCTTCAGCATCATGTTAAGGCATCTGCTTGCATAAGGATGAATGGGTTCTCCCTGTCCAGAACAAAAAGGCAAGAATAAGAGAAACGAGCAATGAGCATTGACCAGGCACATTGGCTCATGCCTATAATCCCAGTACTTTGGGAGGCAGGGCCGGGCAGATCACTCGAGGTCAGGGGTTCAAAATCAGCCCGCAACATGGTGAAACCCTGTCTCTATCAAAAAAAAAATAATAATAATACCCAGGCATGGTGGTGGGTGCCTGTAATGCCAGCTACTCAGAAGGCTGAGACAGGAGAATTGCTTGAAGAAAGGAGGCAGAGGTTGCAGTGAGCTGAGGTCACACCACTGCACTCCAGCCTGGGCGACAGAGCGAGACTCTGTCTCGCCAAAAAAAATTAAAAAATAAAGAAATAGATAAATATCAATAATGCACCGGTGAATGGTCGCTCAGGCGCCCAAACTGGAGATGCAAAGTATCTCCTGGATGGGGAGGATTCTCTCAACGGGCCCCAGCTCTGTCCAGAAGAGGCTGCCTTGTAGCCCCAAACAAGTTCCAGAGAAGGTGTCTCTGTGACCTACAGATTTGGGCATGAACGGAAGATAAGCCCCAAAGATCAAACCTGGCACCGATGTGACTTTGTGGTGCCCATTTCTAGTGTCTCTTTATCATTTCCAACCACAAGCATGAACTGGGCTTTCCTCTGAACTGTTTTCAAGTGGTTTTCCTTTGCGCCAAATGCCCCAGGGGATTGGGGAAAACTGGAGATTTGGAAGCTGTGCTGGAACAAAAACATCAGAAACTGGGTATCAACAAGAATATCGATTTCTTGCTGTTCCAGAGGCTGGATGTCCAAGACCAGGGCATGGCAGAATCTGTGTCTGGGGAGAAACTGTTTCTTGGTTCGCAGCTGCCACCTTCTTCCTGTGTCTTGCTCTGTTGTCCAGGCTGGAGTGCAATGGCTCGATCTTGGCTCACTGCAACCTCCATTTCAGGTTCAAGGAATTCTCCTGTCTCAGCCTCCCGAGTAGCTGGGATTATAGGTGTGTGCCACCACGCCCGCGGTAATTTTTGTGTCTTTAGTAGAGGCAGGTTTTCAGCAGTTGGCCAGGCTGGTCTGGAACTCCTGACCTCAGGTGATCTGCCCACCTCGGCCTCCCAAAGTGCTGGGATTACAGGTATGAGCCGCTGCGCCGGCCCTAATCTCCTCTTCTTATAACGATCCCACTCCTACTGGAATAGGGTCCACTCTTGTGACCTCATTTTAATAAAGACGAATAGAAGCCTTATTCCCGTGAACTTGAGGGCAACACAATTCAGTGCCCAACGCATTCTCTCCTGGGAGCCAGGAGGTCTTTCCAATAGTTCTTACACCTCCGCATTCAAGCAACAGGTACCTCCTCCACTCCTTCAAGCCTACGCATGTGACGAGGCATGCTCCACCTTGTCGCCGCCTCAAGAACGTTGTCCTCAAATTATCCAATCCACATCAGCCTGCAAGAAGTCAGGCTGTCCATAGAGACCAAAAATGTCAAATCCATGTCCGGCCAATTCTTTTGGGTAAAGAAAGAAATACTAGGCCAGGTGCGATGGTTGACATCTGTAGTCCCAGCATTTTAGGACATCAAGATGGCTTGAAGCCAGGAGTTTCAGACCAGCTGGGGTGACGTGGCGAGACCCTGCCTCCCCATAAAATTTAAATAATTGGGTGTGGTGGCATATGCCTGTAGTCCCACCTATTTGGGAGGCTGAGGAGGGAGGATCACTTGAGCCTTTGGCCTCCCAAGGTGCTCAAGGCTGCACTGAACTATGATTGTGCCGCTGCGCCCTAGCCTGGGTGACAGGGCGAGACCTCGCCTCTAAAAAGAAAGGGAGGAAAAAAATGGCAGGAAGGGAGGAATAAAGAAGGGAGGAAGAGAATGAACGAACAGGAAGGAAAGAAAAGAAGCAAAAGGGAAAAGAAAGAAAGGGAGGGAGGGAGGGATGGCGGGAGGGAAGCAGTGAACCCCTGTGGCTTTCCCCATAGCCATGGTTATGGAAGAAGACCAGCGCTTTGGGTCAGCTGTGCCAGATGTCCCTGGCCCGGAGAGTCACCTTTAAGTTGTTCAGCATCCACTGGAGAGAGGCACCTCCGTCTCCACACCTGTCCGCACTCTTCACCCTGATGGCTTTGAAGCCAACGTCCCCACGGAGGCTCCACGTGCCGAAAGTCATGTGAGACCCTCAGGGTCAGGGCTCAGCCACCCTTCGCATCCCCACAGCCTCCCCCAAACGTGACTTGTGCCTCCAGGCCCCATTTCCAAATCCTGAGCACCCAAGTCAGCTCAGAACGTTTAGAGAATTTACTTAAGCACAACCAGGGCTCTTTTCTCAGTAGTTCTCACCCCTGACAGCCTCAGCCTTGGAAGAAGAATGTACTGTTATCTTGAAGGCTATGGAATTCTTTTGCCCCTGACCGGTGGAAGAGGAAATAAGCATCCCCCTTTGACGGAAAGTGGGTCACCTGGGTTGTAAGCTAGCATTTCCTACAAAACATGAATTGATACTTTGAGCGGATCTTGGGTTTTCTGTGGGATGTGAGGGGATGAGGTGAGACGTGAAGGGGCTTAGGAGAATCAGTGACTAGAGGTCAAGAGAGTTAAAGACGAGGCTCACTGCGGCCTCAACTCTCGGCCTCGACCTTTCTAGAGGTCGAAAGAGTTCAAAACAAAATAAAAGAAACCAAAAGAGGGGCGCCAAAGATACAAAAAAAAAGAATTACCTGAGAGAGTAATGGGCCGAAATGCATCATTCCAAACAAAACAGTGAGTCACAGAGAGATGGGGAGGGGTCCAGAGCACGGTGGTTAATCAACAGGAGTGATTCTAGCAGCAGCCTGATGAATGGAACAAACATCAAAATCGCAATTGGGAGGCAGAGGTTACACGGAGCTGAGATCGCACCGCTGCGCTCACCCCTGCAGTCCAGCCTGGGCGACAGAGTGAGACCCTATCTCAAAATAATCATCATGAATAATCGCCGTAAAAGAAAAAACAAAGGGTCCACCTAGCATTCCCCACGCCAGACTTAGAGCACCCGTGCAGCATCCTGGGCAGACATTTCAACCACCAAGCTCTGAGAAACTGAAATCGCAGCTTGATTGTGCTGGGCAGGTTCTAAGACTCTTCCCGACAAAAAGGAAAGGGGCTCCCTCTGCTCGAGCAGAACTGGTTTTAAAACAAGATTTATTTATTTATTTATTTATTTATTTATTTATTTATTTATTTATTTATTTATTGAGAGGGATTGTCACGCTGTGGCCCAGGCTGGAGTACAATGGTGTGGTCTCAGCTCGCTGCAACCTCGGCCTCCTAGGTCCAAGCGATTTTCCGGCCTCAGCCTCCCGAGTAGCTGGGATTACAGGCATGCGCCACCATGCCCAGCTGATTTTCGTATTTTCGGTAGAGACGGGGTTTCGCCATGTTGCCCAGGGTGGTCTCGAACTCCTGAGCTCAGATGACCCAGTCCTCTCGGCCTCCCAAAGTGCTGGGATTACAGGCGGGAGCAAACGCGGCCGCCCAATCCTAACTGGGTCTCATCAGCTCCTCCCGCAACTGCGAGGCCGGGGACTCGGCATTCGCGGAGCCCGGGTGCGGAGTGCGCGGAGCCAGGTCCTGAGCCCCGGGCCAGCGCTCGGCCATGGGATCCGCCGCGCGGAGGGGACGCGTCGCGCCCGCCGCCAGGTGCCAGGGACCCCGGGACGTGGACCACATGAAGGCCTAGGGTGGGGCCCTGGGTTCGGGGTCGCCTAGGCTCCTGTAATGGGCGTGGCTGAGCCCGGCGCCTGGGAGTCCCCGAAATGTAGCTGGAGGAGCTTTGGGTGCCCAGGACAGACACAAGACGCCAGAGCCCAGGGGTGGGGGGCGACTGAAGGGAGACTGAACGCAAGGGAAGGTGGAAAGAGAAGAAACGAGGAAGGGAAGGGAAGGCGGGGGGAGGCAGGCCGGGGCCACAGCGGGTGGAAGCTGCGTGGGTCCCGCCCTGCCGAGTCCTCCGCCTTCCACCCACCGCTACGCCGCAGCGGGATTCGCCCTGCCACGGCTCCCTAACACCGGACTCGAACCGCCCACCTTCCCACCGCACTAAGACGCGCCCCGTCCCTCCCCAAGGCTCCACCCAGCAAAGCGCAGCCTTGCCCGCCCCCAGCACTGCCAAGCCACGCCGGGTCCTGCCTTCCCGGCTCCATTTGCGCCCGGGTGTCACCGGGGGAGCGTCGCGACTATACGTTGTCCGGGTTCTTGGGATTTCGAACAAAGAACTGGACAAAATGAAGCGACAAAAGAAGGAAAGTAGGGATTTCTTGAAAACGAAAGCACACGCCACAGTGTGGGAGCCGACGCCGCGGCGGCCCAGGGGCCCCGATACGGAATCGACGTTTCCCATTGGCCACCTCATACCCCACGTCACTGAAGTGGTGGCCCGCCATCAGTCTGATTGACGGCAGACAGCCAGAGGCTGGAGTGAAACTTACAAAGGTCGCACTCGTGTGCAAACATCTCATCAGAGGCTTAGGGTGAAGTCGCGAAGTTGCAGAAGACTGGACTCCAATCGGTCTGATTTGTGGCAGACGTCACTTTCCCGTCTGCCCAGGAGACAAGCTCAAAGGGAGTAGCTCTGCACCTCTTGTGACCTAGGCTTGGAAAGTGAGG